GCCCCAGCCTGAAGGGTTAGGGCTTGGCATCTCCAGCCCCATCACCCACTGTGCAGGCTGGTCCCCATGTTCTCTGTCTGTGAAGTGGGGGTGGCGACAGCACCCAAGAACTTGGTACATGAAGTGGGGTGAGGGAAGGCAGAGCCCTACCGAGTGCCTGGCATTGGCGGCAGCTGGTCAAGTCAGTGTGGCCTCTAGTGAGGAGGCACAGGCCTCACGGGGGCTCACAGCATCAGGAAGAGAGGCAGGGTCAGCCAGGGGTGGGGGGGGCAACTGGATGCAGAGGAAGACGGGGCAGCAAATGAGATGAGGGACAGGGAGGAGCAGCCAGGTGGGGGCCAACAGGGTCCTATCCTGTGGGTTGGCTCAGCTCACCTGGATAGTTCTCCTGCTTGCCTCACTTGGAATCTGTGCAGTCAGATGGCAGCTGGGGTTGGAGGCCCAGCTGGGCTAGAACATCCAAGATAGCTTCACCATCACATGTCTGATGCCTTGTTGCTCCTCCCATGGCCTCTCTTCCCATGTGTCATCTTATCTTCCAGGTCCTTTCTTTCCAGTAAGGTCATCAGACTTCTTGCGTGGTGGCTGGCTTCCACGAACACAAAGCCAAAGGCTGCCAGGTGTTACGGCTTCAGCCCAGCACTGGCACTGCATTCTGTTAAGTGACCTGAGTCACAGGGCCAGCCCAGAGTCATTGTGGCAGAGAACTGCACTAGAGCACCAATACCAGGCAGCATGGGTCACGGGGTGGGGTGGGGGGGCACCAAAGTCGGCTGTAGACACCCAGTCGGTAAACGTAGAGCCAAGTGCAGCCCCAGGTTTGTCTGGCTCTGCGTCGCTTGCTCTTAGCTCGTACGAGGTCCCATCCGGAGGAGTGGGGCAGGTCATGGTGGTGCAGGATACACATTCCACAGTCAAGTCACACTCATCAGGGTGATCTGGATATTGGAGCCCTTGTGGCACTGTGTCACCAGCACCTACTCCCATGAGCTCCTAGCATGTGTTGGGCCCTTCACCTTCCTCATTTTTCATCCTTCTTCAAACCACATCTGAAACTTTCTTTTTCTGCAAAATGGGAATGCAGTCAGTTGCCCAGGGATGCAGGAAGGACACATAGAGCTCCCAGCAGAGTCTGTTCATGTCAGCGCTAGTTATTCCTTGCCACTCTGACCAGAGGGCAGCCAACCGGGGTCCCTGGTGGGACATGTTGGGGCCGGGTGTCGCTGTCGGACCAGCCTGAGTAGAGTCAAGGGAGGGACAGGATGTACACCCTGAGACCTCCAGCCGTGCTAGGTGTGAGAGCCAAGCTGGTGGGGACTTCCGTCTTCCACCCTGTGCTGGCCTGGGCTGTGTCAGGTGTCCGAGCTCACCTCCCATGTCTCTCCTCACCTCCCATGTCTCTCCTCTCTCCAGCAAATGGAAAGGATCCTGAAGAAAGCATCCAAAACCCACAAGCAGAGAGTGGAGGTAAGTCACATGCCCAGTGGGGAAGACCAGGCTATGTAGGGTCCCAGCTGGGCCCAGAGGCTAGGAGCCTGGCAGAGGGAGCCCTTGGAGAGTTGGGGTGGGGGGTGGGATACCCAACAGAAGCGACACCTCCCCAGGGTCATTTAAGGATGAACCCAGGGTTCAAGGCTGGGTGGCTTTGAGAGGAGGGGGCTCACTGAGGAGAGGCAGAGTGTGGAGAAGTGGGAGTAGGCAGTGCCACACAACCCCAGTGCCCTGTCTGAGGCTGTGCTGATGTGGGTTTTCTCGGCTTTCCCAGGACTTCAACAGACACCTGGACACCCTCACGGAGCACTATGACATTCCCAAAGTCAGCTGGACAAAGTAGCCTCCCCACCCAGGGTATGGAGTGGCATCAAGGGGAAGTGGAAGGCAAAGTTGGGGTTATGTTTCGTGCCTTTGGTATTTTCTAGAAACATTCTTTTACACACACTCTTGCGTCTTCTGCTGAGACACGTGCTTTCCAAAGCAGTGTGCCCTCTTTCTGGAACTTGATTAAAGTAAGACTGTCTGTTTACTCTATTTTGGTTTGTCGGTAGCATAGAAGATAAACCTTTTTAGGCTGGACTGGAAATTTTTGCAAGTTTATCCAGAGATTAAGGTTATTTCTGTGTGTCACAGAAAAGTGTCTTTACCCCCCAAGCTGCATCTAACTCTGATAGTCAGCCAGCTCTCTTTCCCCGGATGAAACAGACTCCAGAAGATAAGGAGCTTATACCCCCACGGGGCCCTGCGTGAGCTGTCCTCCCAGGCTCCCTCTAGCTTGGGGCTTAGGCTGTGCCTTCCCGAGCCTAGGGAAGCCACTTGAACCTTCATGGCCTTCGGAATGCCTCCCCAGCCACCCTGGTGTTTGAGACAGTGCAGCCTGGAAAGCGGGACAACCGCCTAAGGCAAGGATGGAATGCACACCTTGTCCCTGTCTGAGCCTGCGGCCGGCATGCAGCCTCTTCCCCTAGTGTCCTCACTCCAGACATGTCTAGAGGGTGTTGCCATGGCAGACATCGTTACTCAAGCAGGGCATCCCTTTGTAATGGAACCCCGACACAGCCTGCCTCACTACCCTCAACCCAAGGCTCTAAGCATCCCCTGGGTTTATTCAGAGTTGGCACATAACTTGTAGCCCGCTTGGCCTTTCTGGCCTAAGGACACCTCAGAGGTGACAGGACCTGGGCAGAGCCCCAGCACAGACCGTGCAGTCAAAGGGGAGGACCCAGGTCCTGGTGCTGGAGAGCCATAATCTCTTTGGACCGACGTGTACCTACTTGCTGAGGATCAAACTGCATATACTATTGGGAGGAAGACTCTCTTGACCCTAGGTAGTGACAGAATAGCAAAGTCAAAAGAGAAAAACCCAAGTGTTGGGTTTGGGGCTGTCACCTGTGAACAGAATAAAGCAAAAAATGGTTATGAAACAGAAGTCTGAGTGTCGTAATTAATTATAAGTGGTTTGATTATCACTAGAAACACTGCTTTTTGGATTTATTGCACATGTAGAATGCGCATACTGCAAAGTGACCATTTACCCTCAACTTGGAAGAAATTAGGTGACATGTTTTTCCACCTGTGGCTTGCAGCCCACCTGAGAGGTAATATACTGTCTCATTAGTAGTGGCTCCTTGGGGCAGGTTCCCTAGAGTTCTCTACTGCCTAGCCGAAAGGCACTTGGAGGCCTTTTCCATCCATGAGTCAGCCGCTGGGGTTTGTGAGCATGATGGGATGCTGTGAGAAGCCATTGTCGGGATGCTGGAAGATAGATACTCCATCTCTCTGCCTACCCAATCTAAAGCTGAATGACTTAAAACAGCAGGATTTCTCTTCAGTGGGTTGACTGCTGGGCTGGCTGGCTCTGTGCCATGTGGTGTAGTTCACCTGTGTTGCTGTGTTAACTTGCCTGGGGCCAGAATGGCTAAGGTGGCAGCTACTCCTTCAGAATCTCTGTGTAGTCTATTCCATTGGCCAACACAAGTCACATTGCCAAACCCAGTCAGGGAGAGAACTCCATGGGTGCGGACACCGGGAGACATGGTTGTTTCAGGCCATCACTGTTAGTCTACCACAATGTTTCTCGAACTCTCGTGGATGTTAGACTCTTCTGGAAGCATTAAGAACCACCGATGCTGCCTGGGGTGGGGTTCAGTCCCTGAGATTTTCCCCAGAGCTCAGATGACCCTAACAGGCAGTAAAGTTGGAGAAACCCTGGTCTACTGCAATGGGTCTGGTCTTTTCTGAGATGGTGCAGAGGTCAAATCTGGCTTATATATTAAGTGTAAATGCCAAGGACGGTGATTTGAATCCCTCCCGCCCCACGCATGGAGAATGGAGTAATTTATGTAAACAATGTTTACTGTGATGGTGCTCTTGGCACTTGGGTGTCTTGTTTCTTCCAAAGACTTTTGTCCAATCTGTTCCTCCCAGCCCTGCCCTCCCCATACTGATTTTAAACATCTAAACATTGCCTAGAGCAAGCCTGAAAGGAAATGCTCCATAATGAGAGGGGTCACCTCTCCTGGGTGGTTTTTCTTTTTCTCTTACACTTTTTGGCATTTCCGTGGGTTGTTTTTTTTTTTCCCCTGTGAAGTGTATAATTTTGTAATTTTTAAAAGACATGTTTTCCTAAAATATTGAAATATTTTGGGCAAACTATGAGGCTAGGTATAATAGGGTATTGTACAAGACAATGTCAAAAATTCTCCCAGACGTTTTGTGAAAGAATGCTTCCAGCCCAGGATTTACTTGTCTTTAAATAATCCAGTTTTCTCCTCTGGATTTTCTTGCACTTCATTTCTATCCTAAGCCGAGGATATACTGCAAAAGCCATCTTTCAAAACCCCAAAGGAGTTAGAAGGGAAGATCAAAAGTCAGAGGCAGGCAGCCTGAGTAAAATGGTCCTGATGCTGCAGGGTTGGGGTCCCCAGAGCACTGTGATGGTTCACTAGGACAAAATGCAGGCATATCTCCACAGCCTGAGTGTTCATAAAGGCAGTGAGATACTCAGTTGTTGGATCAGGGGTCACAATGTGCATCACCCACTGCGGTCACTACCTACAGAAATGAGAGAAGTGCTTTTCACCGAGGTTCGGCGAGGCATGGTTTTCAGATCATAAATAGGCACTGACGAATGTTGACACTGACACTGACAGGTGACAAGTAGTGACTTGTTGGTAAGGCTTGAGTTCCATTCAGAGAGTTTGGCCTCTTTCCAAGTAACCACCACCTTCCCTTCCCCTATAAAGTGTATAATAATTAGTGACTATATTTGTTCCTGGAACCCCCACCAGACTATGAGTTTCCTGGGACTGGGCCCAAGGTGGGTTCTACCACCGGTATGTCACCTCACTTGGCCCACGGAGGCCGGGCGGGGGTTTCCAGCTGCCCTGGCCTCTTCGCCCCACCTGGCACCTGGAGAGTGCCCGGCGTCAGTCGGCCCCGCCCCTCCGGGCCTTACTTCCGGATGCTTGAGGCAAGAGCGGGAAATAAGGTCACATCGGGCGTACTGCGACTGCGCGCACTCCGCCTCGCGCCTGCGCCTTTCTGGCAGCCCCCCCCCTCCCCGACCGGACATAACGGTGCGCGCGCGGCTCCCCGGACCGGAAGTGGAGGCAAACTGTCGCGGGACGCGCCCGGCCTTGCTCAACGCCCGGCAGTCCCCGCCGTCGCCGCCGCCCTTGGCAGCTGCCGAGGCTTCCCGCAGCCGTCATGTCCGCCAGCGCCGTCTACGTGCTGGACCTAAAGGGCAAGGTACATATGGCCCCCCCACCCTCCCCGTTGCCAGGCAACCGGTGGGGCCTCGCCCTCTGGGGGGACCCACCCTGTTGCTAAGTAACCCGCCAATGGGACCCACCCTAGTCTTAGGGAGGCTGGTCGGCCTCACCTGAGGGCCCCACCCTGTTGCTAGGTAACCTGGCGGGGGCTTCGATCCGGGAGCCCCGCCCTGTTGCTAGGCACGCCCAGCTGCACGGCTCCCCTCCCACTGTGGGGTCGGGTGCTCAAGCCTTTGGTGGGGGCGTCGGGGAACCTGAGGCAGCGGGGAGGGCGGGCCGCAGCCGGTTTCGAAGCCAGGACAGGCGCTCAGGGACTGTGCGACCCTTGGCCAGAGGTGGTGAGGCGTGTCGGGGACAGTGTGCCCTCGGGCCAATCCCGCCCTCTTTATCTGGAGATTTCTCTTTGCCAGTCCCCGCATGGATTCCAGGATTAAGTGACGCGTGTGGTGGGAGGGCCATTTTACAGAGGGAGAAACTGAGGCACAGAGAGGCACGCAACCTGCCCAAGGTCACACCAGCCACAGAATGGCAGGTCTAGGAATCAGCTGATATTTGGGGAGCACCCATACGGGGTGCTTAGGCTTGGGCTGCCTTTGGTGAGCAAAATCGGAGTCCTGGAGCTCACAGTCTGGTGGGAGAAAGGGACACTGATCTCAGAAAGCACACATCAATGTCAGTTGCCATGATGAAGCAGTGAGAACGTAATAGGAGACTATGCCTGGGCTGGGGGTCAAGGAGGGCTTCCGGGAGGGAGTGACAAATCTGGCTGAGACCTGAAGGAAGAGTTGCACATGACTAGGACCCAGGTGCCATTCCCAGGGGACTCTGGGAAAACTTCTTAAAGGAGGGATTTCAAAGCCTTTCCAGGTGGGCTGCTGCCTTCCCCCAAGTCTGTCCTGGCTAGAAGGCAAGTGAGTATTGGTCTCTTGCATCTGGAAGTAACAGGAACAGTACCAGCAATGCTATACAAGTCCCGCGTGGATCACTGGGAGAGAGGTGGGCCTCGGGCCCAGGGGGGCAGGCAGGAGTTAGCTCAGAAGCAGTGGGGAGTGAAGAGGTGAAGTGGCTATCCCTCCCTGCCCCCCTCCCAGAGTACCCTGCACTAGCACTTTCTGAGAGTCCCTTGAGTGGGTCGCCTGCCCCGGATGCCACCCAAAGTCAACAGCTAGTGAGGCCCAGTGCTGGACTCCCTTCCCCAGCCCTCAGGCAAGGGAAGATACAGGGCACACCAGGGGCCAGGTGGGTGCAGTGTTCCCAGAGTCCTCGTAGCATGTGTTCTTCCTTCCACACTGGACACTGTGTCCCGAGTTCCCAAAGGCTGCCTTATCTCAGATCTCTCATTCCTTCAGCAAACAATTCATGAGCACCTAGCGTGCACCAAGCCCAATGCCTACTCTTATCGTGACTATGCAGTTAGGGCTGAGTTCAGACCCCATCTCTGCTGCACAGCTGTGTGACCTGAGGCAAGTACCTTCTTTTCTCTGCACCTTGTTTTCCTCACTGCTCACGCAGGCTGGTTATGGCGTTATTGTGCAAACTCTCTGAGCAGATGTTTGAGACAGGCTAGCACCACTTATGGCCCACAGTCCTTGTTAATCCCGTCTAGGGCCTCGGGTTCTAGCAGGGGAGACACACGGAAGCCGATGGATCCAAATGGTCAGATCCAGGTAGCTTACAAGGGCATGGACACAGCCCCACGTAGTATAAATGCCAACCTCAGTTTTGGTTGCAGAAGGAGAGGTAGTTACAGAAGGCCTCCTGGAGGAGGGAGGTGCCAGAGCTGGGACCAGGTGACAGGTGGACAAGGAGGCATCGCAGTTGGCCTGAGGGGTCAGGGGCAGCCTGCTGGGGCTGGTGGGCCAGAAGACCCGGGTAACCCTGGAGTCTGGAGGATGGCACCAGCAGGGCCATGGGTGGTTGAGGATGTCCAGATGGGAATGAGGAACAGAGGGGGCCAGTCTGAGCCCAGGAAGGAGGAGCCACCAGAGGAAATTGTAGCCTGGGAGGAGCATAACCAGACCTGCCTTTCGGGAAGCTCCCAGGGCAGTCATGGACTTGCCTCCGGTCCTCAGCAACTATCATGCTATTTATTACTCCATTCCACATGGACCTCAGGTTTTAAAAGGACCTTTTGTGCAGACTATATTTACTAAAAAGGTAATGGCACATTAAGAAATTCGTGACCACACGTCTGTCTGCCACCCAGAACCTCTGATCACCAAGGAAACCGGCCACATTTAGCTGCCAGGGGGCCCTCATGGTTACTTCTTTGCCCTTATCTTTCTTGTTTCTCTGCGGCTTCTAACAGCACTACCATACTCCTCAGTGGGCTCCCGTTGGCCTCCGAGTTGCTGCTCCCTCTTGCTCTGCCCATTTCTGTCACCGCCCCCCGGCCACTTCCCTCGGACGTTGACTCCTCCTGCTCAGGCCTGGGGGTCCCATCCGCACTGACCCTCTCCTTGGGGCCTTTGACTCACGTCCAGGTGCCGGTGACTCAAGTTTGTGCCGCAGTCCAGAGTACTTATCTGGGGATCCACTGTTCTCCGGGGTACCTCGGAGGTCCCACAGCCACCACAAACCTGGCATTTCCCCAAAGGAACTTGCTGCCACCCCATACGTGCTCTCTCGCCATCTCAGTGAGTGGCGCCGCCATCCATGGGACTGCCCTCATTGGAGACCTGGGCGTCATCCCCGCCTCCTTTCTCTCCTCATGCCCATGCTCACTCCACAGACATTCGCTGAGCACCCACTGGCATCAGGCTCTGTTGTGGGGGCTGGGACGCGGGCGTGCACAAGGCAGAAGTGGTCACCGTTCTCAGGGAGTCTTAGACTCTGGCAAAAGGGACAGACCATAAAAGAGGATAGAAATTACAGTGCAGCAGCGTTGTGGGCAGTGAAGGAAAAGTGGAGTTGGGGTAAGGAGGCACAAAACATGATCTCTTTGGCAGGGCAAGCAAGGAAGACTTAGAGGAGGTGCCATCTGAGGTGAGGCTTGAGAAATTAGCAGAGGCCAGGGCATTCTGGGCAGAGGGGACTGCAAGTGCAAAGGCCTCGAGGCAGGAAGAGATGTGGATGGTTCAGAGAGCGGCGAGCGGACCGGGATGGCTGGACTAGAGTGACCTGGGGGTGAGGGTGGGGGCCGGATGGACAGAGAGGCATTGGCGGGGCCTTGAAGAATCAGTTTGCCATGAGGTTCAACTTGCAGTTTGTTTTCAGTCTGAGGGGACACTGGGGTAGACAGCAGTTTGAGCACGGAGAATCCCAGTCTTGAGTTCTTAAGAAGACCCCTCTCGCTTTTTTGTGGGGAAGGAACTGTGGGGGTCCAGAGCAACCATAAGGGTAGGGGTTTGTCACCTCAGTGTTGCCTGCCTCCCTTCAGTCTGTCCTGTCTCCTGCCTTCGTCCCCTCATCCAGGACGTGCAGCCCAAGCTCTGAGGTTGGCCTCACTCCACCTAACCAACGCGCCCAGGTCCCACCGTGGGCTGCACCCCTGACTCCACCCCGTGGCTCCAGCCACCTTGGTCTCTCTGCCTCTATCCGCCCTGTCCCCTCGGGCCTCCGTTTGAAGGTCACACCCTCGGGAGGCTCTCAATTCCTCCTAAGCAAGTGTCCCAGTGCAGGGACTCTGTTTCGGTCACCTCTGTGTCCCCAGGCCCAGCATGGTGTGCGGTAGAGGGCGCCCAGGGCCTGCTCGTTGGATGAGCTGGCCTCTTTGCAGCCCTGGTAATGGAAGTGAGCAAGGGAAGTTGCTCTCTGCTCTTTCCTTTGAGCATTCTGGGGGCTTGGGGCTCCCTGCCAGCTGCAGCCCCCAGAGCTGTGTACCTGGGGAAGAAGATGGGCCTTGGGAAGCCCAGGAAAGCAGCTTCGGGAGCAGAAGGGGCCATGCAGGGGGTGAGAACTGGTGAGAATCTGGACTCACCTTTGCTGGCTGTGTGATCTCGGGCAGGCGGTGCCAGTTTTCTGGACACCACCGTGCATCTCTCTCAGAGTAACAGTCCCGCCTCGTGGCAGGGCCGGTGTGTATTCCCGGCAAGGAGTATATGACAGGGCGCACGGGAGTCCCTTAGCCCAGGCCTGGCGCATGTGCCCATCAGCTCACCCGCTGGGTGCTGGGTCCCTAAGGCCTTCTGGACCTCAGCAGGAAGAGGACATAGACCAGGAAAGGGAAACTAGGAAAGAGGTTCTCGTTTTGACGCTTTCTCTCCGATTCTCTCTTTGTCCTGGCTTGAAACAACAAAGACAGCGTATTTTGTGGAACTGCAGGTTCTGAGGCCGGCGCCGCACGGCACGGTCAGCTCTGCAGGGCCCCGCTCAGCTCAGGGCTGAGTCCTGCAGCGGCTGTCCCCCCAGGCTCATGGGAGCGGCTCTAGGCCGGGTCTCCAGATAGAGCCTCTCGCAGCCTGGCAGAGCCTCGGCCACCTCCTTGTCCCTTCAGGGAGGGGTCGCTTACGTGGACCAGACTGCATTTCTTTGATGAGTTCAGTCACTGTGTAAACCCAGGAAGCCGTACACGCACACTCCATCACCCCCTGAGGCTTCCTCACACCCCTTGTGTCCAGCCCGTCCCCAGGCCGCCACTGACGTGCTTTCTGTCGCCACTTCCGAGGGCTTTATGTTAGTGGAATCCCATGAGCCGGGATATGCCGTCCGTTGTCTGGTCGCTCACCCGGCCCGGTGGTCCTGGGAGGCCCCTGTGCTGCCGCCCGAGTCAGTAGTCACTCCTCGTGGCTGAGGAGCCTTCTGGGCTGTGGGTGGACACAGTTCTTGTTTCCGTTCACCTGTTGGAGGACATTGGCTCTCCCTCCAGCCCGGTCTATGTACAGTAAAGCTGCAGTGGATATGGGTCTTCACATGGATGTACGGCTTCGTTTCTCTTGGGCTGGGTCTTAAGCTGGGCTTACCTGTGTGAGACCCTGCCGGACTTTACCAAAGTGCGTGTCCCATGTTAAGTCTCCGGGAGCAGTGGGCGAGGGTTCCAGATGCTGCGGGTCCTAACCCCCAGGCTATGAAAGAGTGAGAAAGAAGGAGCAGCCCTAGGAGGAGCTTCTCCTCAGGTCTCAGTGGGTCCTGGTGGATGTGAACACTCAGCAGTGTCGCCTGAATGGGCGCCCTGACACAGGCAGAGAAGTGCGGTACATTAGCACAGGAAAGGCTCTGGGAAGGTCTGCAGCGAGAGCCTACAGGAAGTTGTTTTAACCTGGCATCTCCCAGTTGACTCAGTCCTGGACCGTTGCCCCATATTCCCCTCCCCTGCAGAGCACCCGGTTGGCCCCTGTGGAGTTCACTTGGGGAAATGCTCTCCTTGAGGAATTCCCTGGGGGACAGAGATCAGCATGGCCTGGAGTCTCTGATGGACAGGGGTGTGACTAGGGTCCCTGCGGTGAGGGAGGTTGGTGTTCTCGCCTCCCCACCCCAGCACCTGGCTTGTGGGGCTCGCAGTGAAAGCAGTGTCATCCCCCCCCCCCCCACTCCCGGCCCAGGTGCTCATCTGCCGGAATTACCGCGGCGATGTGGACATGTCAGAGGTGGAGCACTTCATGCCTATCCTGATGGAGAAGGAGGAGGAAGGGATGCTGTCGCCCATCCTGGCCCACGGGGGAGTCCGCTTCATGTGGATCAAGCACAACAATCTGTATCGTATCCCTTTGCGGGGGAGCTCCCAGGGGCCTCCTGTGTGCACGCACACCCGTGGGCAACCGAGAGCTTCCAGTACCCGGCCTCGCCTGGCCCCGGGGCTGGCTCGGGCACCCCCTCGCGGAGCTCCCTGCGGCCTGAGGGGATGAGCGGGGAACACACAGGAGCACATGTGATGGCTGCTAGGAGAGGAGAGGGTACGGCAGGGGACCTCATCTAGTCTGGGGATCCAGGAAGGGTTCCCTGAGGAGGTGACATCTGGAGGAGACCTCAGGGAGGCCAGGTGTCCACTCTCCAGAGGGGTAGGCAGACACGAGGAACAATAGGCCCAGACAGAAGCTCTGCAGAGGGAAAGCGAGGCTCATTCTGGAAGCTGCAGTAGGGGTGGCTAGAGCACTGGAGAGGGGGCGTGTGGTGGGAGTGAGGCCCAAGTGGTCAGCAGCACTGAGGGGTCTCCTAGGGTATCACCTTTGATGCGAAGCCCTTGGAGGGTTTTAGGCAGAGGGGTGACACAAAGCCAGATTTGCGTTTGCTGAAGGTGTCTGGCTGCAGTGCAGAGGCCAGACTGCAGGGAACAGGAGCAGGTACGGGGAGGGGGCGACGAGGCTGGGGTCAGAGTGTGCATGTTAACGTGCCCATCGCTAGTGCCTCGTGTGCACATTACAGCGAGGGTGCTGGCCTGTGACCCTCGTCTGGCCCCCTGAGGTCCAGCTCCTGCAGCCTCTGTTTCTCCTTCCCCTTGCTCTCTGGAGGGCCTGGGGGGCAGCTCTACAGAGTACCCCAGGCGGCCTGTAAGCCAGGAGTTAGCCATCTGTGAAGCCGCCCTGGGTCTGGGCGGTGGCTGCCCAGGTGTGGAGGTGGCGGTGGTGTGAGCTCAGCAGGAGCCATCTGACCAGTTTCCAGCTGGGCCCCGGTTTCATGCGTGGGCAGCCAGGGAGGACACGGCAGTGCCTCACCTCTCTGGGTTCTGCTGCCCAACACCCCCTTCCTGCTCCCTAGTTCCACTGTCGGGTGACAGTTTCCAGCAGGGCCCAGCCTTGAGGGCCTACTGTCCCTCCTTAGAAAGCACCTGAAGGGCCTGTGGTCCCAGGCAGGAGGAGGGAGGCCAGCACTCCTTTGACTGGCCCAGCATCCGTTTCCTGGGTCCCAGCTCTAGGCAGGCAGTGAGGTGGACATGGGCCCTGCCATCCCTTTCCCCTGGAGCTCCCAGCTCAGCCCCAGGGGCCAGGTGGCACAGGCGTGTCATGAATGGGCACGTCCAGGGCACAGCACATGGACCTGCAGTGGAGGACCCAGCCTACCTCCTCAAGGTAGCTTGAGGCTCTTTAGGGAAAGAAACAGGAAGTGCCCAGCACATGCTGACCCTTCCCTATGTGGGAGGGAGAGTCTGTACCACACACTTTACACACATCACCTTGATGAATCCACTGTCATGCCCCCATCAAACAAGTAAGAAAATGGAGATTCTATTTAAAAAGTTTGCTTTAGGAGCCAGGGCTTGCAGGAAGGGCTCGAGCCAGCGTGAGCCCCAGCTGCTTCTGTTGGAGCCTGGCTGGGCAGCCCTGCACCTCAGCGGGATCACATAAGCCATTGGCTTTTGGGGAAGGACCAACTGTGGTCCTGCTTTCTGCTCCCAGAAAGAGCCGCGCTGCCTCCCCACCCTGGGCTGTTCACCCCACCCAAGGTGTACCCTTACCACCATGCTGGGCTTTGGCTCTCAGCTCAGATTACCACCTCCTCAGGGCAACCCCTGACCCCCAAGCCAGTGGCTGGGGTGGGTTCTCTGTGTCCCCTGCTGCCTCTCTGTCATGGAGGACTCCCTTGGGGCTGGGGCCACGTCTGGTGACTGCAGTGTCTCGGGCCTGGCTCAGACCATAAGCTCAGTAACCCCCTGAAGGCCAAGTGAATGGCTGGGGGTTGGGTTGAGGGACGTTCTGAGCCCAGAGTGGCCGTGGGGGTCCTCCCAAGACCTGCAGTGAATCGGGGTCTGCAAGGCAGCAGCCCAGGCCTCTGAACACTCCTTAACTGGGGCCGCCATGCAGTGGTTGCCACGTCCAAGAAGAACGCGTGTGTGTCGCTGGTGTTCTCCTTCCTTTATAAGGTGGTACAGGTGAGTTGAGTCACAGTCCGCCTCTCTGCTGTGGGCCTCCGCCCACACCAGCCACCCGAGAGCTGCAGCCTCCCAGGGAGTTCTGGGGCTAGAACCCCAGGAAATGGGAAGGGGGAGCTCCAGCTGCCCCGTTTGTGGGATTTTTATGGCCTTCGGTGTCCCTTTGCCATGGTGAGGAGGGGAAAGTGAACAAGAGGCGGAGCTCAGGGCGGGTCAGTGCGCCCTGACTCCAGGAGGGACAGCTGTGCCCCACAACTGGCTGTGGAAGGGTGGCGGGGGGCCAGCTGAGAGTCAGAGCTTAGGGAGGTAGGCTAGCCAGGAGGAGGGCAGAACCAAATTCTGCTCAGAGACGGGGAGGCAGCGAGAGCAGCACATGCAAAGCCCCTGAGGCAGGAGTGCGTGTGGTATGGTACGGTCAGGGACCATCAGGCTGGCCAGTGTGCTCAGGACGGTGAAGGGCTGAGGTCAGCAAGGTGGGCGGGGCTGGACTGTGGGGTCGGGGACGCACAGGGCCTAGTGAGGAATTCGGATTTCATTCCAAGCCTGATGAGAGATGGTGGGGCACTTTAAGCAGGAGACTGACGAGACCCGACCGGAGTTGAGATTGTCGGGCTGGCTGCTAAGTGGAGCAAAAACTTGAAGGCGACAGGGAGGCCAGTGAGGAGGTTGCTGTGGGCTTCCAGAGGAGAAATGGAGGGGCCTGGCTGGAGCAGGGGCTGTGGGGTTGAAGAAAGTGGAGAATCGGACCCAGGAGGCTTGGGGTGGGCGCAGGAGAGCTGTCGTCCTCAGGTGGTGCCACATGCAGCTAGTTCAGGAGCCACTGTGCTGGACAATGGGAAATAGGTTGGTCTGGGCAGTGGGCAGGAGAGCATGTGTCCCCCTGGGGAGCCCTGAGTCTGGGCTGAGGAGTAGCCTTCGTGCCAGACCAGTGGTGCCGTCACAGGAGTGACTTCCGAATAGAGGCCCAGCGGCTGGTGCCAGAGTGCAGAGGGACATCCACGGACCAGAGATAGGGAAAGGAGGAAGGTTCTCCTCCCTGCAGCGTTTGGCATTTCCTTTTTGCCTCGGTGACTTTCCTTCAGGGTTGGTGCTAATGAAACTTTTCTCCCTTCGCTTCTTTGATCCTCTTAATTTTCTGTTGAACTGGGGGGGGGGGGCATTTGTCCACAGCTCAGGGGAGTTGGAAGAGTCTGGAAGAACCGCTTGTTCTGACCCCAGGGGCTCTTTTCCCTCACCTGAGTCACTTGTGACTCAGAGGCAAAGAGTGACAGTTAACAGTGGGGATTAAAGAGAAGCTCTGATGGGGCCCTAGACCTGGGGAGGGGGGACCATCAGGGAGGAGAGGAGAGGGAACCCACGGGGGTGGAGATGCAGGGCTTCTGCCCGGGCCCCCCCCATTCCCCCCGAGGATGCCTGCCCCACCCGCAGCCTGCTTCCTGCCGCTTAGGCAGCCAGGGTTGTCCTTCCGCCCACGGTCTCCGAGCCTGAGGCCTGGCGTGTGGCACGTCGCCACGGCTCACACATGGGCAGCTGCAGCTTGTGGGCATAAAGGGCATGTGGCTTTGTGTGGGCGCCCCCCCTTCCTTGGCCCCGTCTCACCCCATCGCTGCCCCCACGGCCCTCACCACAGGTGTTTTCAGAGTACTTCAAAGAGCTGGAGGAGGAGAGCATCCGTGACAACTTTGTCATCATCTACGAGCTGCTGGACGAGCTCATGGACTTCGGCTACCCCCAGACCACCGACAGCAAGATCCTGCAGGAGTGAGTGGGCAGGGCGGGGACCCAGGCCTGGCGACATCGCATCGTTGATGTGGTCAGGTGTGGAGACCGGAGGAAGCGAATGTGCCTTCATGTTGGGGGCCGCCACCCCGTCTAGTCTCCAGCTGTCCCTGGGCGGTGGTAGAGTCTTGGCCGCTCAGCGTCCCCACGAGCACGAGCAGGTCCCTGGTGCCAGGTGGTGCACTAAGTGCCTTGTCATTAGGGAGTCACCTACCTTTGTCTTCACTGTCATACATGACACGCATTCTTCTCGGCAGTCCTGCCCTGCCCTCCACACCGGGGCAGGTGGATCAAGTCCCTCCTGTGCACCAGGCCCTGTTGCGAGTGCTTCACCTTCACTCCTTTCAGAGTGAGGGGCGCGGCTCCCCATTTTACATGGCACAGAGGGGCACTCGGAGAAACCATGTCACTGGCCCGCATCTCGTGCCTGTTGTTCCCCAGGTGGGATCGGGGTCACCAGCTTCCCCCCCCACGCAGGGGTCAGTGCCCTCTGCCCGCCCAGCAGGAGAGCAGTTCGTGCCCACTCCTGTTTTCCTCGCCAGTGCTGTCTCCTTGCTGCCCCCCCCCCCACCCCCTGCAAAATGAACGCTCTATGCTCATTGTAACTTGAGTTTGTTGGGGCTTTTTGGATATCGTAAGATATTCTTTTTTTTTTTAAGATTTTATTTATTTATTAGAGAGA